AGAATTTCCCTCGTTTTTGTTATCAGAAACCCAGGAAACGGTAGTAAGGAAAGGAGAACACGCATGTACGCCAAACATACACTGCCTGTCAAAACCTTTGATGCACCCAGAGGATGTGGTTCAATATTATTCCCTCTTGGTATACATGCATACCGTTGATGTGTGAGTAAATAAGTAGAGTCACAAGTATCTGCAATGTGTAGAACGCCCACTAGAGTGCATTCGTGATGTCACCGTCCTGTTGTTACGCAGTTGTTATCAGTCAACTACTTGTGGCGTCTTTGCCGGGGCAATAAATCACAGACGTGAACGGTTTGTAATTTATTGAGTATTTAATTGAAAGTGCTCTAACACATGAATTACTATGTTACAATATTATATTAAACAACAATTGACCCGTTACTACAAGGTATGTTCCGGTCACCACCAACGCTGGCCCTAATATTAGATATCTTATTCGTCGTGCTGCAACCTACGCCTCCGTGAGCTACAAGCGAGTATGCCGCACCTCCCGTCTGACGTAGCACGCCGCGCCTTCAGTTCCTGCCTGCAGTAGCTTATGCATTGAAATGCACGCCGCGCACAACCCACACACTTCCTACCGACGCGCCCAAGAATCAGACAGGTGTTTAGGTCCTGGGTCCGTTTTATATTACCTTCTGGGCCGGCTAACGGAACTGCGTCATCTCCGCTGTTTCTGCGACGCGGCATTCCCCACCAGCTTAGTCTGTCTCGTGGGTTCGAGCAGGTGGCCCACCACGACACGGCACCCCTTCCCTTCCGCTCCCTAGGTTTGCCATTGTTCAGCCCGGCATCTCTTCCCGCCAGCGCTGTCCATGAGCATGAAATGTACGGGGCTAACATATTGTCACGTTTGCACAAGGCGACTGATATGACGCCACCTGATGAGTCAGACAGTGAAGAACGTCGAGTACGTACAATTCAGAGCAGCTGCGATGTCGCGCAGGCACGTTCGACATTCTATCCACCAACTAAATGCATTCGATAGAGGCCGCATTGTGGGACTTTATGAGGCTGGATGGTCGTATCGTGAAATTACCAGGCACGTGGGCCATTCAGATGTCACAGTGGCCCGAAGTTGGAATCAATGGGTACATGAGGGCACCCATGCACGTTGTGCAGACTCGGGTCGAAAGAGAAACACCACCCCGAGAGAGGACCAGCGTATGGTGCGCCAAGCAGAGCGGAATCTCATGACGTCGGCACCCGCCACCAGCGAACAAGTACAGGAGACTCTACAACTTGCTGTGAGTTCCCGCCCTGTGGCACAACGACTCGCATCCGCCGGATTGAGGTCACACGGCCCCATGTGTCGCTTGCCGTTGTCACAAGAACACCGACGTCGGCGTTTGGAATGATGCCGTAGGCATATGCCGGCCATATCTATGGCGTGAGGCATAGACAGGAAGAATGGCGTCTCATCATGTTCAACAATGAGTCCCGCTTCGCCATAACCTCCGATGACCATCGTGTTCGTGGATGGGGGGAATATTCTGCCCATATTGTGGAGAGACACACAAGACACCAATAAGAGGAAGGCGGGTGAGGATTGCCCGAGTAACAAAAATATGACCCGCAACCATAAGGTATTAGTTGGGCCCTTGGGACTTTGCAAGTTGGACGCCCCTAACCCAGAGCATGTTGAGGTCTTCCCGTGGCCAGCAAGATCCCCGGACCTCTCCATCATTGAGCATGTGTGGAATGGCATGAAATGGGGGTCTCAGTCGCAGTACCAACCAGCTGGATCTACAGGGACAGCTGCGACAACTGTGGATGAACTTGCTTCTAGAGGGGATTCAAAGGCTGTTCGACACCATTCCGAATCGCATAAGGGCATATTGCAGCCAGTGTAAGTGCGACACCCTACTAACATGGCGCTAACTTTCCACCTGTAACTGTCAACGGCCTTGTCTCTTTCGTCCCACATTGTAATCAGTTCAATAAAGTCACATGGTTTTTCAGCATCTGTAGTTTCATTCACTTTCAATTACACCTTCTGGGTGTACCACTTTTTTTGTCAGGCAATGATTTTTGGGTGCAATACAGTTATCTAACTTGCACTCTTATTAATTTCCCGAATAACTCGAATTCTTGGTTCCTGAAACCGAAAAAAAGGATAACTTATATGAAGTAAATAGCTTCTAATACGTCAACGATTCTGACTACACAACTACGTTGACTCCACGTTTTGTGGATACATAGGCCGAAAAATGCGTTTGTAGCAAACATATTTCTGTGAACAACGAAAGAGTAAACAAGGTTCCCACGAAAATTGATATTTCGTACTCGATATGGGCAATGTTGCGGTGTCTTATTGGAAACGAATGTTTTTATTTGGGGGTTTGGGTTGAAGGTCTCAATGACATTTTCAAACTTTTCTCGACAATTGTTCCAATTTTTTGATTAATGATTGACTTTTGATTATCGGTAGACCTAGTAGGCATGCTTATGAAAGTGGCGGAAGTCCGATATTAATTAAATTTCTGAGGTTTGTAAATTGAAAAAAATAATGTAAAATAAAAAAATATATTTCTTCCTACAACTAAAGTATTAAAGATAGGTGTATATTTCTTAACTTAATCTGTTTTCCAAAATTAAAATTTTAACAGGTATTGGCCGTCTTTTACAGATATTAATACTTCTGTGAAAATCTACCTACAAGTATAACGTTTTACTAAATTTCATGTGAAATAAAGGCAATTAAAAAAAACAAGATTTCCTCAGAAACGAGTCCATTGTTTTCTCATTTACTCTAGTAGTGCTTCTATAAAAAGGGCGAAGGTCCGATTTCGGAAAATTGCAAATGTTATAAATAATCCGAGAGAGTATCTCTGTTCTAGAACTATTTTTGTGCTTTCATTCTGGGTACGGGAATAAGAAACACCAAATATGGATGCAGGAAAGTATATTAGGGAGAAGAAGTTAGTTTTGGAGCAATCTGTGGTGAGCAGGAAATCGGAAATAATATATACGGAAATTATATTATATATAATATTAGTAACATATTTACCTGAAAAAATGAGAGAAGTATCATATTCAGAAAGTCATGTGTTTGCATATTATATATTTGTGGCTTCATCCAGTTACCTGTTACCTTGTAAAAGATTTTCAATTTCACATTCTTCTCTTGTAATCTAGACATCAAGTGGTATAAATTCCTATCCTCATCAGCAGAGAATTCATTTTTGAATAGTTTAATTATTAATGTATAGTTTTTTTTATTTTTGAGTATTTTATGTTATTACGTCTATTACTGTATTTACAATATTTAATAAATATTTTTAATAAAGATTTGTTTATTATTAACATTACACAATTTATAGTATATAATATATTACATTATATACATATTTACATATATGACGTATAGTATATATTACCGTAGTATATTATACATTCATTTTACTGTTAAAACCCGAAATTTGTCATAACCACTATTACCTAGAAAAACTAATTTAAACATTTCTCTTTCACAAAAAACAAGTATTTCCTAGTGGGATCTAAAATTATTCAATTACTCTAGAGCTTACTAAGCCAAGAAACCTTGATTTAACTGATATTATTTGTTAATAAGTAGTTAAAACAAGTTTGTGATGGAACAGTTAGAAGAATTGAAACAGGCAATTCCACCAGTTCTTGGAAGGTCTCGAGATGTTTAAATGAAAGACAGCAAAGACGGAAAGCACATAAGAAGTGTGCTGAAGAAGCTGATCAAAATAGTGCATTCAATAATTCTGATTCTATTGAAGTTGACACTCGAGCCAGGCCAACTCATGCAAATATGCTCCACCAAGACAAAAAAAAGTTGTCTTCGATGCAAAGAATCAATCAATCAATGATGCCCGATTTCACGTGGTGATTCCAAGACGTTTTCTTCGCTCAATACTGAACATACTTCAGCAGTAGGGATACTGATTCTAATTAAATAGTTTTAATTTCATCAATTGAGAAAAAAACTTCTTCTAACTGAATTTACAACAATTTCTAAATTAAATTAATGCTAACTATTACTTGGGAGATGAACTATCTGTACGACTCTGAACTTGCAAGTAGTGTTTTAGAAAAGCCGTATTTAAGTCCAAGTCAATCGTTTTAACGCACGAGAAAAATTCAAGCAGTTAAGCATTTTTATATAGTTTAGTAGAGGTTGTGTTCTTTGGTTTCATAACAGATTTTATATCTATATGATTCATAAAATTAAATGGTTTAAGAACAAAAATATATTTATATAATAAAGGTATAATAGCCGTTATTATAAAGGTACGTATGCCACATAATGGTCGGCCCTCTCTCACTGTGGAAAGATCTAGAAGCTTCTAATAAAGAAAATAATTTTTTTGAAGATCTCTATCAAAACTTCGATATGTATCCCCTGAGACTAAAATAATGTTTAATTATTCTCTTAAGTTTGGGAAACAATGAGTATCAGAAAGAGCTGCACATTTTCGGTCATCTTTCCATAATGTCTACCATGAGAATATGTCACAAAACTCTTAACGCCATATCTACCACCCAAGCGGAAAACTACCACCCAAGCAAAAGAACGGGTGCCAAGAGGTCTAAGGAGATAAAAGCCGCTTTCTTGACGTCGTTGAGTAATGGAAATATAGGAGAGCTGCACAGTGTTAGGCGTGGTTCCATGAGGCCGATTCTTTAAAAAGGTTAGATATCAAGTGAACTGCGTCTGATAAATTATGCTACTCTGAAGTTTTAGGTCTCTTGAATGAAGAAATAATACGCACAATATAGGCTGATGCAGATTGATTTTTTTAGACATGGTAGAAGGCATCTCAAATTTCACTCGCAACTAAGAATGAAAATAACGATTTTATGGAAGATTAAAACATAACGAAAATTTTAAAGATTTTTACGTTTTTGGTCAGAAAACGTATTAGATTGTGAAACTTTGTATTACTTTTTTGGAGAGAAAGATTTTCTGTTTTCATCCCGAGACTGGGCTCCTGAAAACACTCCATTTATGTGCTTACCTTTTCTGTTTATTCAAATGGATTGGAAATTAAAATTTCTCGCGTATCACTGAATTTTCGAGATAAACGAAGGTCGATGCATTGTTAGTTTCATTTGGCTATAAAGTATGCTAAGATATGTAAATAATAGTGATTATAAATAACATCAGATAGGAGTTAGTAGAGGTATTTCTGTATTTCGTCAGTTTCAGTAAGGGTGCAAAGACAAAGTGGATCAGACCATTGAGATGGAACATTTTTGTCAGCATTTAATTAAAACGCTACTTCTAGCGATTCCAGTATTATTCATTACTTCTCCTCAATATGAGGTTTGATACGATTATAAATCCACTATATAGTGAATATTAAAACTACTTAGTATCAAAATGGTACAACAGTATCCTTCCATTTACTTTAAGCTGATGATTCTACTAATCCAGAGGTTAATTTTATAAATTTCAACAACAGTTATACATAACTTTACTACGTGCCCTAAACAAAAAACCTTTTTGTTACACACGTACAGCATAGGAATGTTGCAAGTATTGTGTTTTCATAAGAAAAGGCAGAATTAATATTAAAGTTAGTGTTCCTACATTAATTATGAAGAATTATTTATGTCACCTTCTATAGTTACCTACTTTGTTTCAAAGCAGAGTTCTTTCGAAACGACAACTTTTGACATAAACATTGTAAGAGGATATCATATGCTGTAATTTTCAGTACATTATGAGTACTGAAATGTGGTCCAGTACGGATACTTTAAATATTTTGCAACATTCTGATAAAATGTCAGAGATAACCCGTATAGATGGTGATATCTAGATTATAAATTGCAGAATGCCTTATAGCTGAACGTTCTTAACTTTCTTTGAACACGAAAATGAACATTTTTGAAGTACCCACTGACAGGCAGCATCGATGAAATAGCTCATACTTTCTTGACTGGAAGATCGTCAGCGTTCTCTGGATCAATCTTCTTCCTGAGAACAAAAGGAAAAAGTCTCTAAAAAATGTTACTTAAAACTGTTGATGTTTTAAAATACCTTTACTTAGTGTTTCATAAAGGAATATTTCTAAATCTCTAATACTATTTTAAACACTAAAACATTTTCTAGTGCCATTTCTTTCAATGTAAGGTTTTCAAAAACTACTTTTTACAAACTTTTCTATAATGTTGATAAAAATAATTTACTAAAGGAATCAATATGAATAGAAGATGTCCGAGCAAGAAACAAGCTACTCGGAATAATGATGCAACCGATAAAATTGGCGAAAAGGAGATGCAAGTCTAGTAAGGGAATAATGTCGATGCTTTACATTGAGACGTACTTTTTTTAGATACATGCAATAATTCGCTAGCTATTAATACTTAGTATCTAATTTTGTGGAAATAGTAGGTAACATAGACCAGATAACCTATTATGAAGGTGAAGGTTTGTCCCTGGACGTGCTAAAACACATCAATAAAACCGTAGGCAAAAAGTAAATTTAGATAACTGGAAGGACGTGAAAAGAAATTGCAAAGATCATGGTGGAGAAAATGGCACAAGAACATGCGCTACCAAATGTGCCAAACAGCTTTCTTCCGAGGTACGCGAAATAAGGGTATAACAGGTCTAACCAAAATGTGAATAGCTAAGAAGGGAATATCACTACCAAATTTCATCAAAGTCCATGATGGTCGCACGGAGTATCTTTCCAAAATTATCTTGGAATGCTTCTTTCTATATCTCTAGAACAACCTTTCACTTCACATGTGCAAAAAACGCACTTTAACTCAAAAACAGTAAGAGATATCAAAGAGTTTCTTTGTATCAAAGTAGACATTTCTTTAAAGAATATTTTGTTGCTTTTCCTTCAAAACCAGAAGAAAAGTATCGGGCCATGGTTTATAGAGATGATGGTGTCTACGTCGTGTTATCATCCTTGGCGACACAAGATAAACTCGACCGCTGCACTACATATATTGAGGTGTCATAATTAAGAACCAAAAGAGAAATCTCGTCAGAAGGGTTTTGCATATTCGTTCGCAAAATGACATTTACACTTTAGTAGGTAAATAAAGAACAACATAGTTTATTTTTAAAAAAAATGCAATTGTTGAGAAACAATTTACTCTCTATGGAGTGAGAACATCATCTATTAGTTTCTTGGAAATTATATTACTGTATTATCATGTACCATTCGTGTACATAGTCATGAAGTTCCTAAATACATGTATAAAAGAGGATGTAAATGTCAAAAGCATAGAAATAGATAAGTGGGCAGAACGCTATCGATCTCTGGGGTACGATTATAAAGAAAACGCTGTTGCCAACCACAGAGAAAAGTATCCAGAAGTTGACATCACATGAGAAGAGATGACAATTGTTTTAAACAAATTAAAAACTAGAAAAGCATCTGGACCAAACGGAATCAGCAGCGAATTCCTGAATTATGGACGTTGCATGAACACCTTTTAAAGCTCTGTAATGTGTGCTGGAGGCACCTTGAGACTCCTCGAGAATGGTTACAGGCGAAAGTGATATCCCTGTACAAGGAAGGTGATCGAACACCCATAATTATCGAGGAATAAGTCTGCTAGACTATACCTACAAAGCATACGATATAATTATGAATCAAAGAACAGAAGACAAAGCGAGTTTACGCCTTTTTATAAATCGTACGTAGGTCAACCAGCTTGAAGGAAATTCAGATTAGATTAGAAAAACCAAATTATTTCGCCGAAGCGATCTCACACCCACAAATTCGAGCAAGTAAACAAAATCAGATCTGGGAAGTTTTCCTTTTGTAAACAGAACAATTAGAGATTGAACAGTTTACCTGCAGCAGTTTTCAAAGCTTTTCCTCTCAGTGTCCGAAGTTTTAGAACAAATTAGAACAAGATATTAAATAAGTATGTGTGTGTAGTGCGGTGAAGTGCTGTGAAGTGCTGGTCAGTGTGTAAATTCAAAGGTAATCAAAGCAAAAAAAAAAGTAGTGAGTGTAGTGAAGTGAGTGAAGTGAAGTAAGAAGTATGAATGCGGTGACGTGATCAAATGCACTTTTCAATGCTGCTTTTCGTCTTGTGTACTGTATTGTACGGTATTATTATTATTATTATTATTATTATTTATTATTATCTATATTATTACTATATTATTGTTATTTATTATATTATTATTATAATGTAAGTGTTGTAATTTTTGCAATTATTGCCATTAACTGCCACCGGTCCATACCCAATTGTAGTTCTAATAAATGTATGTATGTAACAGAAAGACCGAAGACAATAGCAAAAGCACTTCTCTCAGAAGAGCAAACGGGATTCAGAAAAGATCGTTCATGTACAAATGCAATATTTACTTTAGAGCGATTGATAGAAGAGAACATAACAAAGAAACGCATCTTGCATTTGTAGATCTTGAAAAGGCGTTTGACAATTTCCGACGCATGCTTCTATGGAAAATATTAGAAAGGAGAGGTTACCCAAGACACCTTTTATCGAAGCTATAAAGAGGGTATTCAGAAAAACATCGATCATATTAGGAAACAGTAAACGTAATATAATTGTCACCACAAATAAAGGAGTAAAGCAAGGCTGTCCAATATCACGAACATTTTTGAACATATGTTTGGATGACATATATAGAATATGGAAAAACAAAGTCGATAGAGGTGTGCAATTAAAAAGTTATTTTTACATTAATTCAACTTCATACGCTGATGTCAAAGTGGTGATACAAGTGACAGAAAACAAGCTTCAAATGTCCATTTTTATCCTTAAAATACCCTCGAAGAATATGGACTTCAAATGGTCACTCAAAAATCATGTCACTCATGGCAAATATCCAGTAAGATCCAAAATAGTAATTGGAAACTACAATCTAGGACGAGTTATCAACTTCAAGTACTTAGGCTGTGATATATTCTTTAATGTAGATCATGACGTGGAAGATTCGCTAGTAAAATTCTAAAAGCTAGTAAAATTCCGAAATGTTTGTGGAACGATACGCAAGTATCTGAGAAAATGAACACGAAAGGAAACGTAGCTTGTTTTACACAATTGCAGTCCTCACACTCTTGTATGTCAGCGAAATTTGGATGAATACGAGAAATATAAAAAATAAAATTCAAACGGCACAAACGAAACTTCTGCAAAACACACTTGGGTGGGCGCTACTCGACAACAACCGGATTTCTGAAAACGATGTTTTAAAAGTTAAAGAATTGTACGAAAATATTCCCATTCAACAATTGCAGGCCATCTTTTTTGAAGTCTGTTAAAAATATCAAACTCGCTCAGCGTCTGAATATTAAAATTTAAAACAACTCAACCCCATTTAATTGTATAAACAATACAATTAGCCACAATTTGTAGGTAAGAAATGTACAGATTTACTCACATGCCGAAACTTTCTCCATCAGCGATGGTGTCTGGCAGGGTTCTGTTCAGGGTTTCAGGAAGCAGGAGAGCCATCAGTCCTGCCGTCAGCGTCATGCCACCAAACACTAGCGTCGGCATGGCTGGCCACACGCCTCCCTGCATCGAAGAGAGGAAAACGAAAACATAAGTAAATTTACAAGACCTTACAACATGGCCTGTTTGAAACGGTATGTCAGAAACGAATTGGCACCGTAGTTAATGAAGTAATTGCGATTATCTGAAAGTTTTCATTAATTAATTGTTAAAAACAGAAACAAACTGCATGTGGCGCACGGAGAAATGTTATATTCTGTATACGTTTTCTTGAGCTCCAGAATACCTTATCGTATCTTTTACTATAAAAGACGTAGACATGCTATAATAGACATAGTTGTATTATTAATAAAGTTACCGAGGAGGGAGGTTGGTATCACTTGGAAACTAGAATACTTCCCTCCAGGTTTGTAGGAAATATATTACAATGAAAACTACAAGTTTGATTCTATAGTATTGCTGAGGAAGCGTCAAACCATCTACACACCATACTCCTCCCACAAATAAAGAAAGATAGCTGTGCGTGTAGTGAAGCTACATTTACGTCCAGAAGCAAGGCAATGGATCCTCTCAGCATTTGCTCAATTGACTAAGGGAATATGGACGCAAATCTGTTTGAGATGGGGGGTCTTTGGCCTAGAAACTGAAGTACAGTACTTGCTACAGGCAATTGAGCCTCTTATAATTATATAGTACACATGTACAATATAAATTCAAGCGTAGGTAAAGCCATTATTAAAATAACTGCTATTTTATTTTTTGCTCAGCATGGCCACTAACAAGCATATTTTTCTTGCCCTTAAACTTGACTATCGATTGTATAATTTTTACTGTTAATTTGTTGAATTGTTTAATGTCATCAGGCAAGGTGTTTTAAAATAGCTTACTTGTACGAGTATTGTGGATTTGTGGATTTCTTGTACTTCAATATATTGTTACGGTCTATGGCACTCATTTGGAGTGGCATTGAGTGGCAAGGATTAACTATAGTGGTCAATGAGCACCTGAAGCTAACAAACATGTGACGGACTGGGACTGTAGGAATAGTTTAGTTCTTTTATTCACTAGAGTGACGAGCGAAAGGTGCCGTCCCGCTATAAATAATAGAGAAAGATAAAGAGACAAACAAAACAAATTGATTAAATCCAAGAAACAACTGTAACGAAATTATAAATTTTATTTTCCGAGAGTGCGAAATTTTGTAAATATAATGAAAAGGGGAAACTTTAAAACATTTCAGAAACCACGGGAAGTCAAGTACGTTATTTACAAACAAGGGACAATAAAATACGCACTAAAACTCATATTAGAAACGTAATTCTGTAAAAAGGAAATAAGAAACAGACGAAAGCGAATACAGGCGTTTGTTTAATAAAAAAAACTTTAGTCGATGTTAAGAATCGGCTGAGGACGATGTCAATCAGTGTTGAGAGTCGTCGCAGGACTGATGGAAGTAAAGTGGTCATGAAAAAGTGTAGTACGCAAAGTTACGTTCATTTTGGTGTTGCAATGTGGAAGGCGCACATAGACTGATATGGCTATATGGAATGGAATGAAAATTAATACGAGCCAAGTAGAAAGGTGTCTGGCGTCGGCGTCTGACTACACCGAAGTTTAAGATTTAGACTTTTATTTCCGGAGTTCACCACGTAATATTATAAGAAGACCAAGAAAAGATTTTTTTAAAATTTAATAAGAAAGAGTAGTCGGAAAACTATTATACCATGGTCTTGTGAAAACGAGTCCGTAGAACCTCATGTGAAATTTGTTACGACAAAACGAGTTTGTATGCTTCACAGGGGCTAGTCCAACCCTTGTGAAGTGTCCTAAACCCTACCTCTACCCTAATTCTTTCCCAATTCTGGCTTCTAGGGTAGTGACGCAGGAGCGCGTAGTAGGAGGCGCGTACGCGGAGATGCTACCTGGCGGTCCTCTCGTCAATTGACGCGAGGTGAGGCGACGAGACGTAACATTAAATAAGAGAGAATATTAATGGAGGATTACTTCCAATGAAGGATTATAAATATAGCGCGATTATTAATGGAGGATTACTCCCAAGCGCGAAGCGCTCAACGCCCCCGGAGGCGTAGAGACGCGTTGCGTCAATTCAGACGAAACGAATTTAAAAAAAAAAAAACAAGAAAAAAACGAATGCACATTGTATGAATGATTTTGAGTATTCATATTTAGTGCAAATGTGTTATAAGTATGTTTGTTTTGGGTTTAGGGGTATTTGTTTAAGATTTGTCATGTTATGTGTAGGAACCGTTTCAGGAGTACGCACATCGTAAGGTGAAATGAAGTAAATATTATTAAGAGCAGAGATTTCATAAATAGTCTCAACAGCACGCCCAACGTGGGGTGAAAATATAAATATTATTATTTATATAAATAAGGAGATAAATCGTTTCAATATTGATGAGAAGAGAACAGTTGTTTTCCGTTCTGTATTTTCATGTTACATTTTTACTGAAATAAACATCATCTGCCAGGCACTAGGCGAAATAAACAGATAAAGATTAACAATCCTTCCATTTATAAACTCGTCAACAGTATTACATCACTTTTCTAGAGGAGTATATCCGAACATCCTCCCTCTTTACCTGAAAACTCAAATAAATTATGTACACATAACAAATCAAGGCGTTCAACTTTTAAGGCGTGTAGAGGGGTCGAAGATGATCACATTTTGCCACTGAACAAGTAAATTTCTTACAACAAACAACCGGGAAAGGTAGCTCAGTGCATCAATTGAGTTCCGTTTATGGCAGGATTTTCAACACTAGGTAGATAGCTACGACGAGTTAAGTCGCTGTTTGGAGGAGAATTCTAGCGGCCGGCTGCTCTTATCGGTAGTTTTCCCTGGTTTCTCCGATCAACACCACGCGATTACCGGAGCAGTATCCTAACAAACGGGCCACGGACCACGTGCTATCTTTCCTTTCTCTTCCTTGTCATATCCTAATCAATTACTGTTACTTACACACACATTAACGTGCACTACAACACCATATAAGCCGGGAAACTGGTCGGGAGCTTGGAGCTTGCTCTGGGTGGAGCTGTGCCCCGCTGGTAGGAAATTCTTGGTCGGGGAAAACCACGTTAGCCGGCGGTAGGGCGGCGCCGGATCTCATCATCTTGAAAGGGAATATCACAGGCAGAAAATGCACTCACTTACGGGACAAACGACCTTATCCGTTGACGCTACCGAAATCATTAATAGATGAAAAGTTCTATCAACAAAAGTCCACATGTGACATTAGCCTTTGATTGTCAGGCAACTCCCCGTACATTACTGTTCGGCGGGTCACGTTCTGACGCAGCTGAAGAGGATTCTTGTACTCAAGTAATGCGAACGCGTTCGCGTGACGAGTTGCTTAGAAATCAGGGGCAAATACCATATGTGTAACTCTGTGAAATACTACTTCCCACCACATGTTCATTGGCTTAAGGTTATCATCTTCTACATGCTACCTGCTCCAGAAGTTTGTAACATTCATTCAGAGTCACTCTATTATAATGTAGCGAAAGGTAACAAAAGGTAATAAATATTATTGATTAATACAGTTATGAAAAGTTATTGACCTTGAAATTACTTAGGAATCTCGAGGTGCTGAAGAGACACCAAGTCACAAAATATAGAATAGCGGCACTCGAAGTATGGCAAATATGCGAACCACTCAGTGCAAGTTAGCAAAATGAAAGAGGAACAAAAAGAAACTGAATGAAATAATAATGAATATAAAAAATAGTGGCGGAAGATAACATGCTACTAACAAAATCTTTGATATTACTTCAAACAAGGTTATTGTTTTTTTATATCTACTCTTCACATGCAATCAGTACTCCGTGGAATATTAAAATAAAAACCATCTCGCGAAATGAGCACATTTGACAATGTGTTCTTTTTAGATTGCTTTATTTTTACAATGTCAGAAACAGAATGGTTTTTAAGGTCGGTCGGTCGGTTGGTCGGTCGGTCGGTCAGCCAGGTGCTTTTTTTTTCAAAATTAACGGTAAAGAAGGATATGAATACAAACTAAAATAATTGATAACTTGGTGCAAGGTTGGTGAAAGAATGAAGCTATTGCTGAAAATAATGCCATATGTTTTACAGTCCCTTATTACATATGTAGAGAAAATTTAAAGAAAACATTTGGAGCGAGTATTGCGAAATTTGTTTTGTACATTTGAAGCACAAATTACGTAAAAACTACTCTTTCTCAATAAATTGTACATAACATTTTTAAAGATAATTTTGAACAACAGAATTTGCCCGAGGGAAAAATTTCTATTTACAATTTTGTAGTTTAATCTTTTTTCTAATTTCCGAAAAACCGAGGGAAATGCGAGTAGCACCATATTATTTCCCGTCCTTTATTACAAAATTAAACAAAAATTTAAACAAAAAATTTGGAGCGGTTTTTGAGAAAAAAGTTACGATAATTTCAAGTACAAAATTCGCAAAAACTGGTACAAGAACTTTTTAAAGGAAGTAATTTTTTACAACGTACTTTGAGGCAAAAATTTCCATCTTCAATTTTTTGTGAGACTTCATGTGATGTACCCTAAAAAATCAAAATATCCGTTTGAAACTCCCAAAGCCGCGAGTTCATTGAGAACGATTGAGGAATATCAATTTTGAAGAAAATTGGCTGAACGGTTTAGGTGTTAACGTTGTACACAAACGGACAGACGGATGTTTTGCCATCAATCGATTTTTCGGTGTCCAGAACGAAAGAAACATGGATTCTGCCTACACCATGTGTTAGAGGATTCCCCTCCCTCTAAATTTAGCAATAGGGTATATCCACTTTTTCGTTACCTGAGACCGGCAATAAGAGTTTTTCTGGCTAAAATTGGGAACTTTCTGGCGCACCATTACATAACTTTCTCTTCTTGCGAAGAATTCGTAAGGCGAGAAACTAAAAATGCAAAAAAGTGTTAATTATCTCAAATGTCTGCGTAATACAATTATTTTGCGTCTGTGTTAAGCACAATATTTTCCGGATATTATTAAACAATACTGATTATTGCGGCTAAGTGAAATATTGATTCGTTTTTGAGATAGGCGAGTTTTACTCTGCGATAACCCGAAGATATTTTTCCCATAACAATGTATGTTGTTCATTGCAGACTTTGTAGGCATACGAAATATCATTGGAATATATATTTACCCCCAAATTTAATTTTTTGGTCTAGGTACGGATTTCAGAATAAGTTAAACCTAGATGCTAAATTTTAAATTTAAATTTTATGACCGTTAACGAAAGAATTAACAAATTTCTAGTAGGACAACTGCGAATTTCCATATCATAGGTAACGTATTGCTACTGGATAAGAATTCTTTGAAGTGGAAATCGAAATCAGGCCATTTAACAACCACACCGATCTAAATAGCAGTTCCAGCCAGAGGCGCTCACCAGCAGGTTGATGTACGGGGCGATGATGCCTCCAACCCGGGCGCACATGCTGCTTGTGCCCAGCGCTGCGTTGCGGATGACCGTCGGGAACTGCTCCGTGGTGAAGACGTACACGGTCCCGTAGGAGGCCGTGATGGCCAACTTCCCCACCATCACCAACGTCACTGTTAGCCACGTCATATCTGCAACGGAACAAACGGGTTGTATCGCGTTTACTAGGAAAAAGAACGGATGAATTTTTCAGTATAGTGTTTTTAATGAATGCTCCCGTCTAAAGTGATCAATCTTGGAAATGTGCATAGGTACAGTTGCGAATTGAAAATCGCTATCTTTCTATCAATAAAACATTTAATAAATAGTGTTATTGTCTTTTGAATATGAGTACGTCGCTTTGTGCAGGTAAGCTATGATTGGCACAATCCTCACTGACCTCGTGGATATTACCTATCGAATGAAAAACAGCGAGTGAGGACTGAAAGTTTGTTTATCTAAGCAAGAATTAGGCAGTTATTTATATCCTCACCAATTAACACAGCTCTACGCCCGACCTAGATGTTTCTTTAAAACTCCTTTTCCTCTTGTATGTCAACAGATAGTCACATGTAATCTACAATTTCACTCACCTGATATCACACACCGATTAAACTACGTACAGAAGATGAATAATCATTTTAAATACATAAACACAACTACAAATCATACGCATTACACAAAATTATTACCTGTAGATAAACTAGTGTTTATAACACCATATCACGTTTCATATTATTTTAATTGCATTTTTTGAAAAATCAATATTACACCTGCGCCCTCTTTCTTTTAAGCTTCAATAATTTTATCCTTTAAAACATTTGAGAAAAAAATTGAATCTTTACTGGATATGTTTTTTTTTAATAAATTTGCATAATGTCCAAGCAGAATTCGCGAAAAGGACTTCTTCTTACAAAAAATTGCGTAAATATCTTTCTTAAAGAGCGGATTGTTAAAACAGTTTCCCTTTCCCTTTTAGTTTTTCCCTTCAGCATTCCCTTTGATCATACTAGGAAAAATTACAGAAAAAGGAGCCACAATTTAGAAAAGAATTGTTAAAAATTTACTATGTTGTTTTTTTTTTTTTCTACGCCAATTACGTAACACTGTTTTATATTTTCGGAAAAATTACACAGACAATATTTCAAGATCTATTCTTTAAAGTAAGATTCATTAAGCAAACCAACACTTTCTTCAAAGTATGATATCTGGAAGACCCCGAAAAAAAATTGAGTATTTTTGCAAATTTGAAAAACCAGATTTCAACCAAAATCAGACCGCCACCATACTCTTAAGCATTCTTTGTGATATTTAGGTAACAATTAATAAAAAAGTTTGTCGTAGTTGTTGAGAAAAAAATGCTTTTAATAAAATAAAAATCTGTCTATATCTTCATGCAAAATTATCTTGAAAAAATACGTACTCCACATTTTTAATTATCACCCGTATTGTGCGAGAAATACTTTTTAGAAGAACAGATTCATTAAAAAAATCGTCAATTATTCTGCAAATATTTAACTTATAAGAAGACGGCGAAAAAATTAACTTCACTATCTTTTTCGAAAAATTAGAGATTTTACAACCAAAATGACAACTGCTCCATTTCTCATACGAGTTTTCACGCTAGTCAACAACACAGATCTCCAAATAGATTGGCGCCTTCTCTTTTAAAAAAATGAAATATCACAGGGCTTCAGATATAGACCCTCTCTCAAATTAAAATATCATTCAAATTCACGGACCGACATAAACCAAGATTATAAGGGATATTACCTCAATATTACGTTTGTCCTATCTTACGGTTAGTCTGTTTTCATGGTTGTTCACAAGACAGACAGTTGACAAACGGACAGAGTTTTGCCGTCAATCATTTTCGTGTAAAGGACCATCAACTCATGATTCTATACATCACATATTAGATGAAGTACATACTATAGTTAGGACCAGAGATTTGTTTACCATTAACGCCCTCCGGCCCAGACAATTAAGAGCTTTTCCGTCGGAACATTTCGCGTTGCCTCCCGCCAGGCTTGGCAGACCAACTTCCTCTAAACTGCGTATATGCATAGCGAGAAATAAAATGATTATAAGATTATTTTGTGGCTCTCTCTCTCTAATGGCAAGACTTTCTTATTAAACTCTAGTTTTGTAATTCTCTCTACCCTGGACTGACTTTTCTGTATTGCCCCAATCTTTCTTCCAGCGCCCGAACAGTGAGCTATCTCTGCGTATACGTGAGACCTAAACATACCACATAATTAACACAATATGTTTCTCCCTTACGCTAAGCCATCTCCGTTAAATGATATAAATAAAAGTATGCTCCGAGGAATTTACAGAAGAAAAAAAATTTTTTATATGTATAATTATTCGTTGGAAAAATCGTATCAACTTTTTTGGGTGAAATGTCGTTTCAGGCGTTTCTGAAAAATACGGCATCCGCGTCATTTTCCACCAAAAATTGTATGTTTCCATAGAAACCTCATCGATATTTTTTCAGAGCACTTCTTACTCACAAATGCAAAATAGAACACACACGCCCGTTCTAGTAAAGTAATTAACGATGCGGAGATATTTAAAAAATTACATTTATTTAAATTGAAGAAAAGAAATACATCAGAAATAGCAAATGTCTTTGTTATTGAGTTAACCTAGTGCTGTAGCATATTCTTACGGAAAAAAGTTGGACCGAAGAAAAAAATTGTAAGCCGTTTTTACACAACTAGTCTCAAGCGTTCCGGTTGAAAAAATGTGGACCAGGAACTTCAGCAGAATGTAACATTAAATTTTAAGCGTTTTTCAGGGATAACTTCATAAGACCAAAATTTGAAAACTTGACGCCACTTGTTAGCAAAGGCGAACATAATGTTACATATATCACCCCCGTTTACTAAAATTATCAACGTAGTATGTCGATTTGGTACATAAAAACATACATTTGTTGTACACATTTCTAGTTTGAACAACAAAAAAATGTAGCAAAAATTATGATTATGAAATAAACGTTTTGTTCTTAATGAATTTTTATTTTAAAACAATCATAAATAAGAATTTAAATTTTCCAAAAAAAACCAGTATTTTGCTAATTTTTGATGAAACAGTCAATTTATCTATTGAAACACAGTATTTCATAAAGACTTCAATCTTCTTTAAATATTTCATGGCCTACTGAAAGAACCGCCGATAAATTAAATGCTGCCACAGGGTTGCATGTCACACACCTATTTTTTTTTTCTCGAAAAAAAGGTTGAAAAAATCGACCTATGGTTAAATTCTAAATTTCCCGGCCTGTTTGAACGCACTAGCTCTGCCAAGTAATTATGAAGAATTGCTTGGAGGGCAGTACAATTATTCACATCCGTCACTATTGAGACATTTACTGAGCTGTTATGAAACCGCCGTTTTAAAATATTGAATTGAATAACATTTTCTTTAAAATAATATATTTTCTTATCTAACTTCTAAATGTAATGAGTAGAGGCAGGATTTCATGAAAAGCAGTTTTTCTATTTACATAACGTAGAGCTTCCAAACTTTCTAATTAAATATTCCATGACAAGCTCATTTTAGAAATTGAAACTTTTTCCGTGCACGTTTGCGTGTTTTGGTAGTTTTTTTTTAGAGAAACTCATGCTTAATGAATGTTTGGACATTTCCAATTAACAGTGAAATCTGTGTACGACGTAAAATGAGGATAAGTATTTCCTGTGGACGTTTTTTTTTTAATTTCTAGAATCACTACGATCATCGCAATCATCTGAATGATTTAGGCGTTGGCGACCGACCGACCAACCGACCGAAAGGCCAATGGACCCGATGGACTGTCGGGTGGTCGATCGGTCAAATATACGTTTTGCCATCAATCCATTTTCCGTATAAAGTACCAAAAAACGTAGATTCTGACTACGCAATGTGTTATAAGAAGTAATTTACGACAAATAGTAAAATATTTATCCACTTTTTCGTTGCCTGAGTAAGTTGCCTTTTCTAGCGAAAAGTCGTCGATTTTACAATACGACAATTACAATACGTTCTCTTTACTACGCGCGTAATCAGGTGAGAAAGTAAAAAGTATGTTTGTAGTTTTTACTTTCTCACCTAGTATGTTTGTAGTTGACACCACTTGAATTTTGATTTTTGTGAATTGAGGATTGGATTTCGATATTCTTCATCAAGTGCTCTCTTCACACTGTGGAAGGGGCGCATAAATTACGGAAACTAAATATAGGTCGTTTATCACTTGTTGGAAAAATACACTTAAGTTGACGTATGGTGAAGTTAATGAACAGTTTTAAGATCCTCACTAAAAATGTAATGGCGAAACGTTCAGATAACAATTTTATGAGTTTGGAGTTGAATTTGACGCCGATTTTTTATTAGCATCTTCATACTTAAGTAAAAGTAATGGATAATATAATTAGTAATTACTTTTGCAAAGGTATCTTCAAAGATATAACCTTCAATGAAATAATAGCTATTGCCTTTAAGACGTTCTTTGTTGCTATGCACGTTTGTCAAATTGTTTATGTCTTATTTACTTCCACATCTCCAGTGGCATAATAAGAATAGCTTTTTTCCTACATTTAAAATGTATTTATTTCAGAAACTGTTTAGTTAATGGAGGAGCATGTAAGTTAGGACATATCAAAGAACCTTCGTGCGATTCACAGTACCTAATAATGTAGACATACCTACCAATTAGCCAGAGAAGACTGCGTTTTCAATTTGAAAGAATACTGGCTTAATTTTAATGCCTTCCAAATGCCTTTAAATTCCTTCCAAGAGCGAATCTGTGTGTTTAACTGAACTAACATTTTTCTCAAATATATTGAAAAAAATTACTATATTTAACCGATATTTTTTTTGAATTTCTAGTGGCGTATATTTGAATTATGAGGATATGTACATAGTTTTTATTCTGATAAAATTCTCTCCATCATTTACAGTAACTTTCCTCGTCCCAAGAACACAACACATTTCAACAAAATCTAGTGTTTTGTGTGCTTTGTGTCATGTTCCAACATTTGAGTAACTGGGAAGGCAGGGGAGATTTCTTCAGTGTTTATTGAATTCCATGTTTTTAGTTTCTTTTATTCTAAAATACGTTCAGTCCATTTATTCTCACAAACACTTCGAAGCAGTCATTTTGATCGATTTATAAACATAAAAACGAATCAACTTGGTTACCTTCGCTTTATAAAATTTGCGCGCTAGTAATTCCTCTGCAACATCGCAAACTTCTCTGAAAACAAACAGTTTGCCAAAACTATTATGAAGGAATAATTACCTTGAGGCACCAAAGTCGTAATTAGGAGAATGACTGCTCCAACAATCATGGAGCCACACAAGATAGCTTTACGCCCCCAGCGGTTTAAAGTCAGTAGCAAAAATATGTAGGCAGGTATTTCCACAGCCCCGGAGATGAGAAAGTTCAGGTATATGTCGCCGCCAAGATTTGCTGTGTTCCAAGACAAGCCGTAGTATGTGAGGTTGTTTGCGAACCTGCAAAAACATTTTAGTATGTATTATGTTTGAAACAAATTTGGAGATTAAGAAAGTTTTCTGTCTCAATATGTTCCTTGTTATACTTGTATGTTCATTAAAAGGACAAATGTTACAACAAAGTTGTAAAAAAAGTAAATATTAATTTTAATGTTTACAAAAGGATCAAATTTATTTAAAATTTGCCAAAACTGAACAGTCTAATACAGAAGTAAAGAAATTATACTGTTTATATTTAGCAACTGATTATTTACTGGTAAATAGACAATTATAACAGTAATAATCCTACACCACAGTTTCTTGTTAAAGATAGTTTTTACATCTAGAATTCTCAACAGCTTTCCAAATTAATAATCAGTAGCGCAAGTATAATATTTTGCGAACGTGCCTGCACGTTTTGAACAGTCCTTTTCCGTATTGGCGTTGACCACATATAACAATCATTCAAGGGGTTGATTCGGAGTTCTGCAGCGAGACTTCAAAATACGCCGCTGTTGGTGAGAAATATGGTTACGCGCTCGGAGATACACCGATCACGGTGTCAAAATCTAGTTGTGAAGCCTTAATTCTGAGTAGTGTTGTGGGGCGCGATTCGTGCGTGTGGTGGCGGGCGCGCCGCGCCGCGCCCGAGGGAGCTCACCAGTTGAAGAAAATGTTGAGCGAGCGGCGGCGGAGGTTGGGGTAGCGCATGATGTCGAGGAGCGAGGCGTCGCGGGGCTTGGCGGGCGCCGCCCCCTGTTTGTCGGCGGCGGGCGGCGCGGGCGGCGCGG